AACAGCATTTTGCTTAATGAACTAGCGACAAAACGATCTGTAAGGAACTACAAGCAAAGAGATGCCTTTAATGGATATGAACCAGGTAATTTTGGTGTAAAATTGCAAACTCTACAATGCCCTGCAATAGAAACAACTCTATAGCAACCAGGAGTGAAGGTTATGTATATGTGTGCATGTGCTTGGGTTGAGGACACTGTCCGGTAGGCTATAACTCATATGGCACTTTCAGTAAATACTTTAAAGCTTGTTAAAGGAAACAGGATGGGGTGTGTATGTGTGTGTTTGCAAGCAAAGCAACTGCTGTAATAACCCTGTTTTAGCTATGACATAAATAATGCTGCAAGAAAGAATGATATCCAAAGCAGCAGTTATCACAATAATTAAAAGACAGCACATTTTCCACCCCCACTGATATTAAGAGCCTGGATCTTAAAACATCACATTTAAGAAGACAGATAGGTTCAAGGTTTATTTCGTCTTAATTGTTCATTTTCCCCAAAGCTTATGTTTTTCCTCTTCACAACATCAATCACAAAGATAAAAATGGAAGGTCTTTTTTTGCATGTTATGTCATTGCAGTCCACGTTTTGCACAATTTGTGTCCGTCCGTTGAAATTTGAGGGAGTTTACAGATGCTTTTGAACAACTTTTGCCTTGTTTTGGGTATGCAAAAATAAGGGGGCCACAAAATTCTTAGCAAACCACAACATCCAGTGGATCACAAACTGAACACACCTCTCTTAGTTCCATTACCAGCTCTTGATTTTCCAATGCAAATCTAGCAGATATATCCACTTTTCGGGGCACTAATATGTATTTTCTAAAGTACTCCCTTTACCAGAGGTAATCATAGCCAGTGGGTTGTTGTAGGTTTTTTCGGGCTATATGGCCATGGTCTAGAGGCATTCTCTCCTGACGTTTTGCCTGCATCTATGGCAAGCATCCTCTGAGGATGCTTGCCATAGATGCAGGCGAAACGTCAGGAGAGAATGCCTCTAGACCATGGCCATATAGCCCGAAAAAACCTACAACAACCCAGTGATTCTGGCCATGAAAGCCTTCGACAATACAATCATAGCCAGGTTTGTGAATTAACAAAGTACAGTTGGTACACTGTGGAAATGTAGTGAATGGCAGCTGGGGAGCTGGAGTAATGTCTTTGTTGGAAAAGTTTTGTGTTCTAACACTTAAGAAATCACAGCCAGTAAAAAGATCATTTTGCCTAACTATCAGTAGGGATAGTTATTCAACCTTAAGTATGATAAATTGGTTCATTGGATAGTTATTCAACCTTAAGTATGATAAATTGGTTCATTATGAGCCCCAGGCGGCACAATAGGTTAAACCCTTGTGCCAGCACGACTAAAGACTGACAGGTCGGAGGTTCAAATCTGGGGAGAGTGTGGATGAGTTCCCACTGTCAGCTCCAGCTCCCCATGTGGGGACATGAGAGAAGCCTCCCACAGGATGATAAAACATCCGGGCGTCCCCTGGGCAATGTCCTTGCAGACGGCCAATTCCCTCACACCAGAAGTGACTTGCAGTTTCTCAAGTCGCTTCTTATAACGATTAAAAAAAATTACAGCAGAGATGGGAACTGTTAAACTGTAGCTCCCATAATTCCTCAACACGGGCTATGTCAACTACAGTTTCTGGGACTTGCATCCCAAAAACAAGGATTTCAGCTTGTGTGTTTGTTTATTGGGTGATCATTCTTACCCCACGAATTTTGTTATAATTAATTAAATCGTATGCATCTAACCAAAACACATTTTATCTTTTGATTGATGTTGTCTCCAAGGAGGAGTTAGAACTATTTCATGGAGGGGAAATGATGCACTTGTTTCCATTACTAAAACAGCTTGTGCTCCTACTACCCAAAAAAGTAAAAGAATGGGAAACAGCTTTCACAAACAACAGCGAATAATGCCCAGGAACCTTATATAGGCAGTTATTCTAAAACCATTTCTCTTATTTACAATGGCGCTTGATGAAAAAAATCAAAAACAAATGAAACAATGGTAGCACTTCCTAAAAGATTTTGGAACTTTTTTTCTTCATTTTTTTTTCTTTTTGTAAAACTCCCTTGTCATAAAAGCCAACTTACATTAAAATATACATACTACAAGACAACACAACTAACAAAATATATAATAAAACTCATACAAGTAGAAAATTCTGAGGTATTTCTGGTTTGAGGTGGTCTGTGGTCGTGAAGTTTTTTTCAACACATTTTTTTTTTAGTTTAGTTTAAACCTCGGAAGCCACGTAATGTGTATGTGTGTTCTAATCTTTCTTTTAAAAAAATCATTGCATGTTTTGCAAGTTTAAAAAAATATTTAAATGTTGAATCAGCAGCATTAGGAACATTCACTGACTAGAGCGAGTTTATGGCATAATAGAATTAGCTGTCTTTGAAAATATGCACCACTGTGAAGACGAAAGAGTTGGGTGACAGAGTTCAGAGAATCAGGAATTAAAACAACTACTGGGAGGACGGTCAACATATGCATTGCCTAACTTGGGAGGAAGCTTCACTGAGAAGCGTACTTTAAAGTAGCATGTGTCTATTTTTTGGTGAAAACATGACCAGCCAGATGTATTATACCAGTGGTTGGGTTGTTGTAGGTTTTTTCGGGCTATATGGCCATGTTCTAGAGGCATTTTCTCCTGACGTTTCGCCTGCATCTATGGCAAGCATCCTCAGAGGTAGTGAGGTCTACCTGCGAGGATGCTTGCCATAGATGCAGGTGAAACGTCAGGAGAAAATGCCTCTAGAACATGGCCATATAGCCCGAAAAAACCTACAACAACCCAGCGATTCTGGCCATGAAAGCTTTCGACAATACCAGTGGTTCCCAACCTGTGTTTTGGCCTTCCACTCCAAAAAATCCAAACACAGGTTGAGAACCACTGCGTTATACACACCTATGCAACGAACACAAATTGTTTTCAAGCCTGTCTCAAACTGGGTGATGTTCTAGACCTCCCAGCAAAGAAATCTAAGGTGTTGCTTTTTTAAACCAGGCATGGGCAAACTTGGGCCCTCCGGGTGTTTTGGGCTTCAACTCCCAATTGAGGACCCAAGTTTGCCCATGCCTGTGTTTAAAGGCATTGATACTTCCGTCACAAAGGTGGAATCGTTGGGCTTTTCCACACAGACCTATATCTCAGAATATCAAGGCAGAAAACCCAACAATATCTGCTTTGAACTGAGTTATCTGAGTCCACACTGCCTTGATATTCTGGGATATAGGGCTGTGCAGAAGGGCCCCTTGTCTCTCTTCTTCCGTTCCTAAAATGTCACATTAGGTAGCTTAATGCAATGAGACAACTTTGAAACGAGCTTAAAATTGTTGTGTATACGTGCCCTAAATACACTTACTACTTCATCACACTAGAGAATGAATCCACTCTAAATCTAGTTTCTGCCTCCTGCAGCATTCTGAGGTTTGTAGTTTAGTGATGATGTTACGCAGTGGTTCTCAACCTGGGGGTCCCCAGATGTTTTTGGCCTACAACTCCCAGAAATCACTAGGTTCTTGTGGGTTTTTCTGGGCTATAGGACCATGTTCTAGAGGCATTTCTCCTGACGTTTCGCTACATCTATGGCAAGCATCCTCACTACCTCTGAGGATGCTTGCCATAGATGCAGGCGAAACGTCAGGAGAAATGCCTCTAGAACATGGCCCTATAGCCCGAAAAAACCCACAAGAACCTAACTCCCAGAAATCTCAGCCAATTTATCCGCTATTAGGATTTCTGGGAGTTGTAGGCCAAAAACATCTGGGGACCCCAGGGTGAGAACCACTGTGAGGCTCCTCCCTAAACTACAAACCCCAGAATTCTGCAGGTGTTTGGTGTAAAACCTTTGTTCCTGAAGGACTGCTGACGGGCAGGTTAGCGGTTCGAATCTGGGGAGGGCGGGTTGAGCTCCCTCTGTCAGCTCCAGCTCCCCATGTGGGGACATGAGAGAAGCCTCCCGCAAGGATGGTAAAGCATCAAAACATCCAGGCATCCCTTGAGCAACGTCCTTGCAGATGGCCAATTCAAGTTTTGTACTAATTTATTTACGCAATGCTTTTGACACTAAATAAATAAATAATTAGGCATTTAGTTGAATCGTTTTTTTTCCTTCCTATTTCGGTATATTTCTAAAAGCAGAATTTTTAACACTGTCCTACTGGAGAACCGGGTAGGGAATCTGCAACTGAGTCAATCCCAGGATCTAATTCTCTGAACATATAAATATAAGATAAAGGTTTTCTTTTCTTTTTAACACTGTTAAAGCCTGAGATATTTTTTTTAAGAAACCATTTCTATCAGTGATTCTCTGTGACCCAACTTTCTCTATGCTCTGCAGCAGCCGAATACTCTGCCTCAAAACTTGCCCTTCCTCTCATTAGCAGTTTACCTGAGAAGTAGCTCCATAGCAGGTGTTTCTCCCAATGCTGCAGAAGTCCAACGTTCTCTTTCTCCCAGCCCTATTTGCTAAACTTTTCACTTTCATGTCTACCATCAAAGAATTAACATTCTCTTTTCCGTTCCTTCTCCCTCCCCCGCCCGCCCCCCACATTGTTAACGACGACACCCGTTAGACCCGTAAAAGACACATCTGCTTTTTTTCTTTCTTTTCAAAACTCACTGTCTAAAATAGAAAAAAGAAATAAGGAAAGGAAAAGTTTAAGGGGAAAGTCCATTTTGAGGTGTGATCTTAATGTAACAGTCTTAAAGTTTGCAGCATGTCTTGCAGATGACTTAAGTTGTTTTCTTGATACCATTGATATTCTGTGTAAAAAATAAAATAAAAAGACAAACCGGTAAAAGAGAGAAAACTCAGAAAGCAGGATTTGTAAGGAGGATGAAGTGAGTCCGTTGAGGTTTTGAGGTACCTGCACCGTTATCTGCATTCATTAGTCGGCACCCGAATGCTTGCTGAGATGTCCTCTTTTTCATCTTTTTTTTTCCTCTCATTTTAATACAGTAGAGCAATGTGCTGGTAAAATTGATCCAATCGAAACAATAATAATAACAACAACAACAATAATAATAACAATTTAAAAAGTCAAGATTAAAATAGCAGCTGCATTCATGTGTGTTTGTGTTGGATTTGTGGTTTAACTTCTTCTTTTTTTATAAATCCACTGAGTCTGGAAGGACCAAAAAAAAGAAAAGAAAGTGAACCAGGATTTAGATACTTGATTCTTTGGGCAGCAAGTCCATGTTGGTGACGGAGGTCACGATGGAAACGAGGCAGTCCGAGGTAGTACCGTTTACTGCTTTGCGTATCTGAGAAATCCGTTCCTCTACACAACCCGCTGATAGGCGTGCCTCTGCATCATGGTCCCAGCATTCCTCAATCGTCACACAAAGCTGCGCCAAACCCTGAATGGAGAAAGGGAAATTGAGATTATTTTATTTGCAGTATTTATATTCCGCCCTTCTCACCCCGCAGGGGACTCAGGGTGGATTACAGTGTACACATATATGGCAAACATTCAATGCCAATTTTGACATACAACGTATACAGACATACACAGAGGCTATTTAACTTTTCTGGCTCCCAGGGGAGCTGTCGCTTTCATTGTCCATCTGCAACACTGATGAAGTACTTCCGCATTCCCCGCATGCTTTTGCTGGAGTGCTTTGCTGGAGTCTTTTTTATGGGCTCATAAATTAATTAATTTAGCCTCCCCACACAAGGTGGTACCTAATTTTCCTACTTGACAGATGCAACTGTCTTTCAGGTTACAAAGGTCGACAACAGGCTACACAATTGGTTGGAAACCCACTCCAACCTGGGCTGGCTTCGAACTCATGACCTTTTGGTCAGAGTGATCTTAATGTGATGTGGCGGCAAAAAAAGCCAATGGATTTTGGCCTGCATCAATAGGAGCATAGTGTCTAGATCTAGGGAAGTAATGCTACCCTCTATTCCGCTTTGGTTAGACCACACCTGGAATATTGTGTCCAATTCTGGGCACCACAATTCAAGAGAGATATTGACAAGCTGGAATGTGTCCAGAGGAGGGCAACTAAAATGATCAAGGGTCTGGAGAACAAGCCCTATGAGGAGCGGCTTAAGGAGATGGGCATGTTTAGCCTGAAGAAGAGAAGGCTGAGAGGAGATATGATAGCCATGTATAAATATGTGAGAGGAAGTCACAGGGAGGAGGAGCAAGCTTGTTCTCTGTTTCCCTGGAGATTAGGACACGGAACAATGGCTTCAAACTACAAGCAAGGAGATTCCATCTGAACATGAGGAAGAACTTCCTGACTGTGAGAGCTGTTCAGCAGTGGAACTCTCTGCCCCGGAGTGTGGTGGAGGCTCCTTCTTTGGAAGCTTTTAAACAGAGGCTGGATGGCCATCTGTCAGGGGTGATTTGAATGCAATATTCCTGCTTCTTGGCAGAATGGGGTTGGACTGGATGGCCCATGAGGTCTCTTCCAACTCTTTGATTCTATGATTCTATGTTTAATGCAGCTGACACTCAGGCAGCTGTGCCACAATCCCGGTGCAGATAGCACTGAATTTAGCCTTTGTCTGAAAATTATTGTTTTAAAGGAGCAATTAATGCTTTGTCCCAACAAATACACTCCAGAGCACTTTACAGTAAGTTGTAGCAGGACCAAGTGTGTGTGTGTGTGTGTGTTGAAGATAAACCTTATAATGGTAATTATTATGTGCAGCTGGTAATGTAGATCAACTAGCAATCTTGGACCACACCCGATAGAGTATAACTATATGGGTTTTTAAAGTACAGTTCTGAAGAGCTTTTTCTCTGAGGAGATCTATGCTCAAAGGCTCTGCTCTGAGGAGCAGATTGGAGAGAAGTCGTTATGCTGCTCTAAAGGAAGCTACGTTGGAATAGTTGTTTGCTCAAGGTTTCTGTTATGCTTTCTCATTTGACCTAAGATGAAGATGCTTTATTTTGTGTTCCTTACAAAGACTATGTATGTTTCTTGCACGGTTTGTTCTTTGTATGCAACATTGTGAGTTTGTATTTCATCTCTGCTATTAAGAGTAAAGTTTTTTGTTCATTTCTACTCTTGTCTGTGAGTCTTGTGCATGGGAAGTGGCTAAGATCCGCTTGCTGCGCAACAGAGCAGTGGTTCTCAACCTGTGGGTCCCCAGATGTTTTGGCCTTTAGGTCCCAGAAATCCCAATAGCTGGTAAACTGGCTGGGATTTCTGGGAGTTGTAGGGCAAAACACCTGGGATTTCTGGGAGTTGTAGGGCAAAACACCTCTGCAGTGGCATCAGTTATGAACACCCTCCTCCTAGAGCAGGCATGAGCAAATTTTTACCCTCCAGGTGTTTTGGACTTCAACTCCCACAATAGCTAATAGGCTGTTAGAAATTGTGGGAGTTGGAAGTCCAAAACAGCTGGAGGGCCGAAGTTTGCCCTTGCCTGTCCTAGAGGCTTAGCAATACTTACCATATGTACTCGAGTATAAGGTGAGTTTTTCAGCCCTTTTTTAGGCTGAAAAAGACCCCCTCAGGTTATACTCAAATCAAAGTTATTTATCGTTTACTCTGTGATTATTATTATTATTACATTTATTATTTTACTCTGTTGTTATTATTACACTATTTTACTCTATTATTATTTTATTGCATTTATTATTTTACTCATTTTTATTCTTACATTTATTATTTTGCTCATTTTTATTAATACACTAGTTGTACCCACCACGCGTTGCTGTGGCCAACCTTCCCTCCTTCTTTCTCTCCTCTTTCTCTCCTCTTTCCTTCCTTCCTTCCTTTCTCTCCTCTTTCTCTCCTTCCTTCCTTCCTTCCTTCCTTCCTTCCTTTCTTTCTTTCTCTCCTTCTCTTCCTCTTCCCTTCCTTCCCCCCTTTTCTTTCCCTTCCTCTTTCTCCCTTTTCTTCCTTCTCTTCCATTATTGGACTCCAACTCCCAGCAGCCCTCCTGATTGATCTATCTATCTATCTATCTATCTATCTATCTATCTATCTATCTATCTATCTATCTACCTACCTACCTACCTACCTACCTACCTACCTACCTGTCTCTCCCTATCTAATCTATCTATCTGGAGGATTGCTGGGAGTTGCAGTCCAGGAATACAAAACTGGAATTATGCAGGGATTGGGATGGTCTCAAAGAAATCCAAGGAGAAGAAAGTTTGCAGCTTGGAAGCAGTGCATTTGGATCATCCTCCTCTCCTAAAGGGCCTGATCTAGGGGATGTTGGGAGCTGTAGACTGGAAGAGAGTGCGGATATGCTATTGTGTGTTTTGCTTGCCAGGAGGAGTCATTTTTTGCACTTGCGCTATAGCATCTTTTTGCCTTTTTTGGCTTTTTAAGCCCCTTCTGCGGTGCTTTTCTGTCATTTTATGAGTGATGGTCACTTGTTGGCCTGATAGATGTCTTGTGTCCAAATTTGGTGTCCATTTGTCCAGTGCTTTTTGAGCTATGTTAAACCCACAAATTAACATTACATTTTTATTTATATAGATTTATTATTTTACTCTATTATTGTTATTATTACATTTACATTATTTTACTCTATTATTATTTTTATTACTTATTTTACTCTATTATTACTGTTATTATTACATTTCTATTATTTTACTCTATTATTATTTATTACATTTATTATTTTACTCTGTTTATTATTGTTGGAAGGAAACGTCAGCACATCTACATTGAAGAAAGTTAGAATAATGGCTTAATCAGTGTTGGACAGTCTTATCTTAAATTGCACTTTTATATAAATATTCAAAAACATTTATTAATTAACTGATGCCATTTATTAATTAATTGATGCCTCAATTAATGTCATTTCATTGGTATCTATTTTTATTTTTGAAATTGACTTGTATCGGCTGCATTTCCCTCTCTCAGCTTATAGGCAAGTCAATATAATGGTTTGAGCATTAGCGTAGCATTGGCAAGGACAAACCTCCTTAGAACAAATCTGCTTCACCAAGAAAACCGTATGATAGGCTTGCCTTAGGGTCAGAAATAACTTGAAGTCATACAACCATAATATCTCAACTAAGTCCAGGACTGAGATATTCAAAACATGGCACTAATGTTCTGTAAGCACAAGCAAATGATAGGTTTGGAGAGATCTTTGCATTTTCAGCAGGAGCTAAATCATATTCTACACAGGCATGCATATTTTAGTTTTTTTTTTTTCCAGAGCACTGGAAGGTGTCAGTGTGCATTACAGTCATCATTTAGGTGACTTGAAAGTGATGATACATGGGTACTGCTTGCATTTGAAGAGTTTTGGAGCTTTTCAGATGAGTTGTTTTGTGGGCGCAAGGAAGATGAAGCAGCATTATTTAGCCTCGTGATCTTGGAGGTCATTGGTAGGGCCATCATATATCAAAGTCAATTTAAAAGCAAGCAACAACAATTAATTAAAAAATTGGAGTGGCATGGAAGAGGCAACAGGAGTCCTAAGAGTTATGGTTACATCCAGATTGGACTATTGCAATGTGCTCTACATGGGGCTGCCCTTGAAGATGGCCCGGAAGCTCCAATTGATACAACGGGTGGCAGCCAGGCTCCTTACTGGAGCAAACTATGGGGAGCATACAAAGCCCCTTTTAAAACAGCTTCACTGGCTGCCAATAAATTGCTGAGCCAAATTCAAGGTGCAGGTTATGATCTATAAAGCCCTAAACCATTCAGGCCCCGCCTATCTTCACAATCGCATCTCCCTCTATGAACCGGCGCGAAATTTAAGATCTTCCCGAGGAGGCCCTCCTCTTGCTCCCACCACCGTCGCAAGCACAGTTGGTGGGGACGAGAGAGAGGGCCTTCTTGGTCATGGCCCCCTGCCTCTGGAACACCCTTCCTAGAGAAATAAGACAGGCCCCATCCCTCCCCTCCTTCCATAAGAGCTTGAAGACCTGGTGGTTTAAACAAGCCTTTGAGAATGACTAGTTCTAGCTCAGCCTCAGATATTGTTGAATATGGCCATATCTTTTTCTACCACTTATCCAGGTCACTTCCTGTTTTTGTTGGATAAGGAAGACTCTACTGTACTTCTGTTCCCTCCTGTCTTGACTACCTCCCCAATGGGTTCTCCGAACTACTGCAAGTTGAATAAAAAACAAATTTTGATCCATTTTGTTTATACTTCAAAACAGTTTCTTTCTGCAAAAATTATGAGGAATATTTCCTTGACTTGAAGGAGGCATCCAGTTCACTACATCCTATGTCTAGGTTGCTAAAGAAGGATTTCTTTAGAGAAGAAACAGAAGGACAGTATTTAATATTGAGGGTTTTTTTAATTCATTTTTTTCTTTTGGCTGTTTGTTTTTTCCTTTTTATTTCCTAGATATGAACTTATAGAGCAATAAGCTTAGAACTATAACTTTAACTATAACTACAAATTATAATGGTGAAGGCACAGAATGGAAGTCAATGGAACTTTCCTCCCCCCTCCACTATCTTTAGCTTTAGTTTTTAGCTTAAGTTTTCTCTTTTCTTATCTCTTCTCCTACTTTCTTAATAACCCAGTTTCCCCCCACTTTTTATGTAATAACAATAAAATGTTCTTTTGTGTACAATTATATATAGAGAGGGGGGGGGAGGGAGAGATGGAATTAAAATATATTAATGAGAAAAGACGTACAGGATGTTTAAGCCAGTGATCCTTGAATGCGGGGCGCATCTTCTTGTGAACCACCACCTCCTGGAGGTCTTCAAGGGATGGATGCTGTCCTATCTCTTCTTCAAAGGGCAGCATGTACTCATCCACTGGACCTGGATTTGCACAGTAAACCAATGGAACAGGCAGCTTAACTTGTATGTTTAATGCTTGATTTGTGGCTCAATGGCAATACAAGAAAGCATTGAACTACGTGCTTCACAAATACCTATCACATGTTAGTCCATGAAATGCAGAATAAAACAGAACAGTCAATATTGGAACCTGCAAATCTCCAAATTCCCAGGCATCTCTAATAAGACATATCTGCAATGAATCTCAAAAGCTCAAATCCCACTTACCAGAAGTTTTGTCTTCACTCATGGATCGTATTCGCAAACACGCAGATTCTTGCATGTCCTTTTTACCAAGGGCAAGCCTCCATTTCAACTTGCTATGATTGAGTTGTTGTGAGTTTTCCAAGCTGCATGGCCATGTTTCAGGAGCATTCTAGGAGCACCCGCTAGCACAGTGGGTTAAACCCCTGTGCCGGCAGGACTGAAGACCGATAGGTCGCGGGTTCAAATCCGGGGAGAGGTGGATGAGCTCCCTCTATCAGCTCCAGCTCCTCATGCGGGGACATGAGAGAAGCCTCCCAGATGGAGGATAAAAACATCAAAATCATCTGGGCATCCCCTGGACAACATCCTTGCAGACGGCCAATTCTCTCACACCAGAAGCGACTTGCAGTCTCTCAAGTCGCTCTTGACACAACAAAAAACAAAACAAAAAAGGAGCATTCTCTCCTGACGTTTTGCCTGCATCTATGGCACGCATCCTCAGAGTATACCTGCTATAGATGCAGGTGAAACTTCAGGAGAGAATACTTCTGGAATATGGCCATACAGCCCAGAAAACTCACAACAACCCAGAGATTCCAGCCATGAAAGCCTTCAACAATATATTGCTATGATTATTTAGAATCATAGAGTTGGAAGAGACCGCATGGGTCATCTAGTCCAACCCCCTGCCATGCAGGAAAAGCACACTCAAAATTACTTTTTTAATCAAAATTACTTTTTTCATGATTATAACCTTTTTGAGGGAAACAAGTTGTAATCAGTAACCATGTTTGAATTGTGTTTGTTATCTTAAACCATAATTACAGGGGACCACCATTAGTTTGGATTTAAAAATAATTTCACCACAACTAGTTGAAAAAAGAAGTGAATGCTTCTACTCACCACTCCATGCTTTTATAGACCTGGAGTGTGACAGCTTGGGTGTTGTTCAAGACCATTTCTGTAGCATTACATTATGATTTGGAGGCAGAAAACACTCATTTATCTAGATTATGATCCCATTCTCTGGGCATCAAAAACTACAAATATGTTGCAGCCAATACTGAAAACACAGACACAATACTCTAAAAGGGAATAAAGCACAATGGCTTGTATCCAACACTAGTGGAGCGAGCATATTACAGGCGTTGGCATTGTTCCATAAACAATCGTGCAACCAACAGACAGCAAGCTCATGTAGCAAATTACCAAGTCACAATAAATGGGGAAAATTTTCTGCAACCAGAATCAAAGTATTGTATTTGACATTTTTAGAATGGATACAACCCATTTCAAATAAAAAACAAATAATCAGAACATTATTTCTAATAACCACATAGAGAGAAAGAGTTTAAAATGCCACCAAACTCAGTCCCCTTCCATACAGCTATATTATATAATCCACATTGCTGGATTATATGACTGTGGACTCGGAAAACTGAGGACCAAGCAGATATTATGGGTTATCTACCTTGATATTCTGGGTTATATGGCTGTGTGGAAGGGCCCACAGAAAGCTCTGAGAGGATGAACAGAGCTTTCACCTCTTTAAATGAAACCTGCTAGCAAATCATACAAACTGTAGATGATTATTTACTTAGGTGAGTACTCAGTTTTACAACCTGTCCAACACAAGGCGAAACTCTATTCCCTGATCTACTTTTCAGTTGGCCAGGAACACCACTGTCTTGTCTGGCTTAAGCCTCAAATTGTTTGTTGTCATACAAACCACTACTGACATTTTTTGTGCTATTTTAGTATCCACTAGTTTGGGTACCCGGCATTGCCTGGGTTATTTGAAAAAAGTCATTTTTGTACAATATGCATAAGGTTGTGGGTGAACTATAACTCACATCATGCCAGGCTAACCTCGAAAAACACAATCAGTACTTAAAGTTTGTATGTTGGGCAATGTTGGAGTTCAATGTGATCTCTAGCCATAGGGTAAACAACACCTCCCACTATGGTGTCAGTCCCTTCAAACCCCTCCTGTAGATTGTGTTAGTCATGGGGGTTCTGGGTGCCAAGCGTGGTCCAGGTCCATCATTAGTGGAGGTCACAGTTTCTCTGGTTGTGGGTGAACTACAACTCCCAGAAAGGAAAGTTAGTTCCCCCCAAACCTCTCCAGTAATCCAATTTTGGCATATCAGGTATTATTTCCAGGTCCATCGTTGGTGGAGTTCAGACTGCTCAGAAAGGAAGAAACCATGAAAATGAACAAAATCTGACTCCCAGTATTTAAACATTCTAAAATCATCGAAGGTTTTCATGGCCAGAATCACTGGGTTGTTGTAGGTTTTTTGGGGCTATATGGCTTATATCTCACTTAGGGTGAGATATATGTTATCTCACCCTAAGTGCATGTGTACATGCAGCCATATGTGGATATATGATCCCCCATAGATCCAACATAATGCAGAAGCAGACTTCATGTGCAGAGCAGCATTATATCATTTACGCATCCTAATCATTTAATCATATCATTTACGCATCCTAATGTTCTAGAGACATTCTCTCCTATTTATTTATTTATT